CCCCCCTCTCTCTCTCTCTCTCTCTCTCATTATCCCTCTCTCCCTTTCATTATCCCTCTCTCCGTACCTCCCCCTTCCCTCTCTCTACCAACAACTTTATTTCTACAACCCGCTCCACTCTCAATTTCCAGATTTAACTTCCTTTCCAGATATCTACTTCTCTCCCCTTTCTCGGTCTGACTGTCTCTGTCTCTCTATCTAGGCCTAATGTAATAATTTTCTAGGCTATCTTCTGTCTCTTTCAAAGTGTCACTCTTTGTTACTCCGTATATGCCTGTTTAGCCCCCTCTCTGTCTCTGTTTTCGTCTGTTTCTCTCCCTGGATCCCCCCTCCCTCAAATAATTATACTCCTCACTCTCGTCCGTCTTTCTTTCACTCACTCACACACACACACACACACACACACACACACACACACACACACACACACACCTGTGAGTGTGTGTGTGTGTGTGTGTGTGTGTGTGTGTGTGTGTGTGTTTGGGTGTGTGTGCGCGCGCGCGTGCGTGCTATCTTTCTCTAACTGACACTGTGTCTCTCGATCTTACCTGTGTCTGTGATGCTGTGATGGAGCGGACGCACGATTTGAAGACCCGAGTTCGATTCGACCCGTGTGGGGAAATTATTTTTCCAGTAGCCAACCATACGATGTACTGTATGGCTCAGTCTTCATCTCCTCAGTCTGCCAGTTGTTCCTGGGAGTCAGGATGGAAGACCGCCTCCTAAATGATCGAAATATACATGTTGTATGTAGTGCGTAGTGTGTAGTGTAGTGTCGTTAGGGGTGTATAAACACAAACATTAAATGAAAGAATTATATCTCACTTTCTTTCTATTATCGCGCTCTCTCTCTCTCTCTCTGCTCTCTCAGATCTCTCTCTCTCTCTCTCTCTCTCTCTCTCTCTCTCTCTCTGCTCTCTCATATATATATATATATATATATATATATATATATATATATATATATATATATATATATATATATATATATCTAAAAGACTTACGGCACTTGCAACACAATTAGGTTATAGAAGAAGAAGAAGAAGGAGAAGAAGAAGAAGAAGAAGAAGAAGAAGAAGAAGAAGAAGAAGAAGAAGAAGAAGAAGAAGAAGAAGAAGAAGAAGAAGAAGAAGAAGAAGAAGAAGAAGAAGAAGAAGAAGAAGAAGAAGAAGAAGAAGAAGAAGAAGAAGAAGGGACGACGTAGATGTTCGACTGATACTGATAGGAAAGAAAGAGTAATTTAAATAATACCAAAGCTGCCGCCAACAATTCCCCCTAAAAGAAAGTTAAGTCTGCTATATTTGTGAAATTGAGAATTTTTCGCAGGAAGAAATTCAGTTTCTATCTATAATAATGATTCAGATTCAGTTTCTATAATGAACCCCCATTTCTTTTTCTTTTTTTCCAGCAGGCTTTACTTAATACGGGGTGCCCACTACGGCTGGGATCGGCCGATCGGGCCAATTGCCCGACTCGATCGCCTGAAACTGAAAACAAACGTTCGTTTTTGAGGCGATCGAGTCGGGCGATCGGCCGATCCCGTCCGTAGTGGGCACCCCGTATTAGAGAGACAAGAAATGCTTGCACACAGAAGACTGTTTCTTCACACTTATTTTGTACAATGGTCTAGCGTTCAGTTCTTCTTGTGTTACTGTTACTCTCGTTATCCACCTCATACCCCCCCACCCGAATAAAAACAATTATTTAAAATAAAATATTTTTTTTCTTTTTAAATCCCCGCCTGCACCGGTATATTATATTACTACTTTTCAAAGAGCACGCGGTGGCCTCTCTCTCTCTCTCTCTCTCTCTCTCTCTCTCTCTCTCTCTATATATATATATATATATATATATATATATATATATATATATATATATATATATATATATAGATCGTCTATAGTTTTCTCAGGGAAGTAACTTTACGCTCTCTACAAACAATTTCTCTGACTTGTGACTATTTCATTATAATAATGAACACACACACACACACACACACACACATGCATATACAGACACACACACATACACACACACATAGACACACGCATACAGACACACATAAACACACGTATACACACACACACACACACATATACATGCGTACACACACATACACACGCATACACTATACACACATGCATACACACACACTCACATGCACACACACAGACACACAGGCACAGACACACATACAAACACACACACACACATAGACACACACGCATACAGACACACACACAAACACACGCATACACACACACACACAAACACAAGCACACACAGACACACACATGCATACACACACACTCACACACACACACACACACAGGCACAAACACACGCATACACACACACACAGACACACACACACAGACACACACACACAGACACACACACACACTCACCAACAGGTGTTCCAGCACAGGCAGAGAGCAGGTGTCCTATATATTATATTGTACTACATTATATTACCAACATTCACCAACGTTAGAGGTGGGCAAAATCCGGATAATCTATAAGGATAACCAGATAATTCTCAATGAAACATTATCCGAAATCAGACTCTTAACTCTCCTTTTTCCTGACCCGTTTGCCGAAGCGGGTGCACCCAATTGTTGAAACGATGCTACCCGCTTGTCGAAGTGGTTCTAGCCCATTTGCCGAAGTGGTTCATATCATATTATTTGTCGATAAGGTACACTAACATAGTATCCGGATTTTGCTAAAGGGACTCATTGCCCAGCCCTAACCAACGTCGATTGTTCTAAATGAACCCCTGCAATCTATAGAGTGGAGGCTGACCATGGAATATATTTTAGTTTTAGTAGAGGTTTTACGGCGCTCGCAACTGCATAAGGTCATATGAGCGTCAGAAGATTAGAAGTGTTACAAGACTCAGAGAGTAACAAACGTAAAAAAGAAGAAGGGGAGATAAGGACGATAGATGTTTGATAAGAAAGAAGAAGCAAACCACACCAGAGCACCCGCCAACCACCCACTAACATTATCACTGAAGAGCTGAGATTGTGGTAAAAATTAGAGAAACAATTCACAGTAACCTAGAGAGGAAAACACACAAGCTTTTTTAGTGAGAGTTTTACGGCACTTGCAACACAATAAGGTCATATAATATAAGTGCATAAGATTAGAGGTGTCACAAGAGAGTAACAAACATAAAAAAGAAGAAGGGGAGATACGGACGATAGGTGTTTGATAGGAAAGAAGAAGTAAATCACACCAGAGCACCCCCCAACCACCCATAAACAAAAGAAATGAGAAGAGCAAAGAGTCGTCAAATAGTAAATGTTGTTTTAATCATGACCACTTGGTTTTGTACATACATTGTAGTAATCCTGTAATTCACCTTCCAAAACATTGGGGAGGGGAAGAAGAAGAAGAAGAAGAAGAAGAAGAAGAAGAAGAAGAAGAAGAAGAAGAAGAATAGTAATAATAATAATAATAATAACAATAACAATAATAATAATAATAACAATAATAATAATAATAACAATAATAATAATAACAAGAATAATAATAACAAGAATAATAATAACAAGAATAATAATAACAATAATAATAATAATAACAAGAATAATAATAACAAGAATAATAATAACAAGAATAATAATAACAATAATAATAATAATAACAATAATAATAATAACAATAATAATAATAATATGAGTCTGTTAATAATAACAATAATATGTGTGTGTGTAGGGAAAATGTCGGAGACATGACATGACATGGTGAGGCTGTGACAAAAACCCTGCGACTCACAGACGTTCAGTCAAAATCTTACGTAGAGACGACGTAGAGACGTGCCTGGTCTAACATGCTTTCGGAAGAGTTTTACGGCACTTGCAACACAATAAGGTCATATAAGTGGCCGAAGAATAGTAGATGTGTTACAATACAGTAACAAACACAAAAAAAGAAGGGGGAGAGATTTATAATAAGGATGATAGATGTTTGATAGGAAAGAAGGAGCAAACCACTCCAGAGCACCTGCCAACCACCCACTAACAAAGTGGATCCAGCCAGGATGCGCACGGGGACTCCCCGGCCCACAACAGAAGTGCTCATTTACACTTTACGTTTCAGTTACACACACTTTTAGTTTCAGTTACTCACACTTTTAGTTTTTGAGTCACTCACTGTCTGTCCATTTCAAAGATGTTAAAATTTTTCAAATAGATTTTTCTCTAGATCGCTTGCATCTTTTGTTTGAGAAAGGTTTTACAACAGCATCAGGTCATATGAGCGCCAAGGGGTGGATGTCAACAGAGAAGTCCAAACGGGGAATCAGG